GGGGAGAGTGTAAACGCAGATAGTCCAGATTTACGCGCGCTTTCTTTACTGGTGTCCGGTTCCGGCTCAATAAAATCGACTGAGTTACTCTCGCCCGCTCGTGTTCCGCTGACCGCTACATTACCTTCCGAGACTCACCCATGATGACTAATACCTCCCTCACACACTACACTTCTTCCTCATCACACTCACACTCACTACACTTCTTCCTCAACACTCACACTCACTACACTTCTTCCTCATCACACTCACACACACTACACTTCTTCCTCCTTCCTTTCGCACTGTAACTTCATATTTGGCCCGACAGACAAAATCCCACCGACTTATTTCCCTGCAGACAAAATCATAGCGACTAATTTCCTTCCAAACAGAATCCCACAGAATAATTTCCTTCCGACTAGTAATCCCCTTGACAAAATCCCAGCACCACAATTCAGAAAAATAAAAATAAAACCAAATTAAAATAAAAATAAAACCAAATTACATCTACTGCAACTTTCACAACTACTGACTCCTGGCACCACAACGTAGACACAAAGGGAACCATTAATCTATCAGAATTGACGTGCCAGCAGCGTCTCTCCGACCCAATATCTGAGCCCTGGACGTCATCACAACATTGATTTACTAAGAGGGAAGTCACGTGATTCTAACATAGATACCTTGAGGGGGAGAGATTCAATCGTGATAGGTGGATGATTAGTTTCCTCACATGGCTCTCAACATTATGACGGAACACTGTCTGAGCCATACCCTGGGCCATTTTCTAAATACTTGGGACATGCCATCGGGTGGGTCATAGTGAAGGCACGTGATTATCATTCGTGTCCAAATGTCTGGGAGAGTCTGGGACATACCATCGAGTAGATCAAGATGGCTTTAGGTATTGTCAATCAATTTAATTTCATACACCACCTCACCCTTATTAACTACACATTCTGGGAAGTACCGAGTAACATGACCAAACTAAGGTTCTTGCTTTACGTCGACTCCTGAATTAATTACACAGTGATTAACGTAGTTTCCCCACCTCTGGATTAAAGAATAGAAAATGTGGATAACCAATGAGTGATTGTTGTCAGGAGAGATGTTCCACTAACTTCCACAACCTGTTGTGTTTTACGATACGTGAGATGTGGTGAAAGTATGTATAATGTTTCATATTATTACTACAACATTTTCGAAAAAAGATAACCCACAAATTGTAGAATTAATTTACTCCAGTGTATGTGTTTTATATATATATATATATATATATATATATATATATATATATATATATATATATATATATATATATATATATATATATATATATATATATATATATATATATATATATATATATATGTATATATGGGAAAAAGCGGAAATCCCCCCAAGCTCTTAAAGATGCCTCCATCGTCAATATTTATAAGAATAAGGATTACCGGTCAGACTGTGGCAACTACTGTGGGATCTCGCTGCTGTCCGAAGCTGGCAAGATTTTTGCCCGAGTCCTCCTAAACAGACTTCTTCCTGAGGCGGAGAACTTCCTCCCAGAATCTCAATGTGACTTTAGACCATCACGTGGCACCACTGACATGAGCTTTGCTGCCGCCAGATACAAGAAAAGTGTGGAGAACAACGTCGTGACCTGTACATGACTTTCATCGACCTAACCACGGCCTTCGACTCGGTCAACAGGGAAGCCCTCTGGTGGACCCTCAGCCGTTTTGGCTGCCCACCAAAATTCATCGCCATTGTGAGGCAACTTCACGATGGCATGAACGGGAGTGTCCTGCACAATGGCACCCAGTCTGAGTTCTTCCCCATCCAAACGGGTGTTAAACAAGGTATGTGTACTGGCACCAACTCTCTTTTCCATTTTCTTGGCTGCCTTCCGAGGAGAGACGCCTGTGACCAACACGACCAGAGGGACAGTGGGGCAATACTGCTGTACTACGAGGTGGGTGGCGTGATGTCTGGAATTTACCGATCCATCCGGGTGCACTTGTCGACGTAATGGGGTGGACGGCGGGTCAAGATGATGGTGGCCGGTTATACTCAGGTTGTAATGATGATGAAAAGGAAGAGGGGGGAGGAGGGTCAAGGAGAGGATGATTAGCATAAGGAGAAAGAGTGGGAAGGAGGTAGGAAGGGAAGATAAAAACAAGGCAGACGAGGCGGGGGGGGAGGGGGAGGGGGGGGGAGGAGTGTGAGGATTGAGGAAGAAAATGAAGATTCATAAGTAAATGATATGAAGATGATTTGGGGACAAGAGGATGCGGGTAGGCCGACAGCAGGAGAGAGAGAGAGAGAGAGAGAGAGAGATCCACCACCACCAGACTGATATAGGAAGACATGTCTTACAAACATCTTAAATGGATAACGAATGTAAGAGTGGGTTTCATAGGGACCATGATGATATAATACACTAAACACAGAAAGTAATGTGACCAGCATTGAATTCGGCCGCTTTTACTTCCCAAACTTTAAGGTTAGGTACCCATTCACAGCTGGGTGGACTGGAGGTACCCCATGTGCGAACCAGTGACCACGAGAACGGGTGATGAGTGCTATATCCGTTCGGCTACCGCTTCACAAAAATTGGTAATATTTGTTCCCAAACCGACTTCAAATGATAAAGAATCCAGGAAGCAACTCACCATAGATAAATTTGGTGTGCGAATAAGAAAGGTGAAGACGAGAAATCATTCGCGTCTCATTACTGTCAGGTTATAGGAACCAAATTATTCAGTGTCCGTGGTCCAGTTTCATGGCAAGACATCTTATAAAAATAAATAAATAGATTATGTATTGGGCGAGGTTCCAGTTTAAGAATTCAGTCGATGACGAGAGCCCCGACATCCACTAAACTCACATAATTATTAAACACACAGATAATCATAGTCCTCAGTGGACGTCTCTGGTGTATAAGCCAATGCGGTCTTTCCGTTACTCCAGGCTGCCCTTGTTAAAATAATCATACTTAATGATTTAATGGATACTGAGGTTTAATTCAGTAAGACTAGGAGACAGCTTTGTAATGTAAAAGGACCTGGGTTTTGCTGAATTAATTAATTGTTGAGATTCTGTAATTGTCAAATATATGTGTAAAACTATTCATTCTTTTATTTTCATTGTTAATATCCTTAGTGCTTCGTCAATAATTTTGTGAGTATCTCATCTGTCAAACTAATTTGTTACAGCGTCAATTTATTACAAGGGAATGTCTAAGGATGAGATATAACGTCAAAGCCATAGGTGAACTGCTGTGTCCGAGTAGTAAGGGCATACGTGCGCACGTTAGTGTGTAAGCTATATTACGATCGCTGCTATCACTACTACTACTACTACTACTACTACGAATAATAATAATACACCCACGAAGGCCAAAACACGTAGACAAACAAACACGTGTACGCGAATAGTATCCCCCAATACAGTGAAGAAGCCTAGAGAGAGAGAGAGAGAGGCGTATCTACGACATACAGTATAATGTTCAAGGTTATTCTCTGTGGCATTTACGAAAAGTCGATGACTGGCTGACGTGGGGTGGGCTGATGACATTAGACTGGCCCCCTGCTGCCTCTACCCCTCACTCACTCGTCCTCACACACACACACACACACACACACAATAATATCTTCACATTTTTGTAAGGTTAAGAAGAAACGTAAGTGTAAGTGTAGGAAAATTTAGAAAGAAAATAAAAGAAAGGAAAATGAGAGAGAGAGAGGGGGGCAGGCCTTCCCCAGACTATTGTTAACAGCTGTATTCACCATACACTCACCTCCTCACCATACACTCACCTCCTCACCATACACTCACCACCTCACTATACACTCACCACCTCACTATACACTCACCTCACAATACACTCACCACCTCACAATACACTCACCTCACAATACACTCACCTCACTATACACTCACCTCTTCACTATACACTCACCACATCATACACTCACCACTTCACTATGCACTCCCGTCCAGCCAGACTCATCAGGGTGCTACTTGGTTGGCGACACAAACTAGAAAGAGCCGGAATGAACTGCCCGCTTGGCCAGGCAACAGAGGTCAGGACTGGATTGATCAGATGAGAGCTTAAAAATGTAAAGTCATTATTAACTACGATGGTTGAACCCCTGTAATAACAATGACTTAATCCCTGCGATGATTTAGTTGATCGGTCGCTATTGGGACGTAAGGCAACTGATGAGAGGAACACGTAGGAGGGACATAATTACACCAAGGAACATTTCACTAGTCAATCGCCGCCAAACTTATCACCTAAAGGAAATCCTACATTAATCTTTCTCGGTTATAATATTAAATATTGTGTTAGGTTTGGCTCGCTTGGTTAACATCCTGGAGCAAACACGCGGGAAGTACTGGGGGAACACGAGCATACTCCTACCTTCTCCCCCCCCCCTCCATTCCCAACACACACACACACACACACATGCTTTATCTAACCCGATGACTCAACACCCAAACTTTACCTGGGGTTAGATTAGGCTAGCATAAGGGTGGTTAATCTTAAGTTGATATAATGTGGGGGCAAATCTTCAAGTGATCCCGACTGCCTTATGTAAGGGGTCCGATATCTTTCGAACTGAACAATCCACACGCAGGGCTACCAATGCGAGGTATATCTCATGGGCCTTTATCAAAAACCTTCATTCGTGGTATTATTTTGTTTCGTACAAGAATTTTACAGTACTACTATACGTGTCTTACACGTGTAGTGCTCTTACCTATCACACGCATGTTGTCATTAGAGTATTGCAATCGGTGACATTTTATATACTAATACTACACTGAAATTAATTAATTAACCCCAATTAACGTATATTTTGGAGAATAATACTATGACAGTAAATTTACTACGCATATTAAACTATACACTCGACAGATTATTCTCAATTACGGACCTACGTAATTACCCTATATTACTGTGTAAAATAAATTTGCCTAGAAACAATATGGATGTAAAATTACCCTGTACTTACCTGGCCGTTCGCTGCGAGGGACGCGCTTGACATCTCTCCTGTGATTACCTAGACGTCCACGTTACCTACGCCACACGTCGATGATGTCAACACATACCTGTGTTGTAAGAGTACTGTTTTAACTTATATCTGGACTCTGTCTATCAAGGAAGAGTTGTATATTTACATCACAAATGATTTGTAAATACACACGTAGTGGGCTGCTATACCAAAGCAAACATAAATCTCCATAACACTAGATGCTCTAATTGTTATTGCTCGCTGCCCAGCTGACTTTTGTTTACAAACAAAACGCACACACACAAACACACCATCAACCTCCTTCCTCGCACAGACGTGAGGTAAGAGTGTATTAAGGTAATGCAGTAGAATGTAAACAGATGGGAGACGGCGCCGGGAATTCAACTGGTGACCGACAGAAAAACTCCTGGGAGAGTGGCGCCTGGGAGAGTGGAGCCTGGGAGAGTGGAGGCGGGTAAGTGGAACTCACTGACTATCCCGCCTCGATCGGTGCCACCTAAATCAATAGTGACAGTTGCTACTCACATAAGGACCACCCACTACTTGTTGACTTGTGTGTGTACCTGTCCATGGCGTGTGTACCTGTCCATGGTGTGTGTACCTGTCCATGGTGTGTGTACCTGTCCATGGTGTGTGTACCTGTCCATGGTGTGTGTGTACCTGTCCATGGTGTGTGTGTACCTGTCCATGGTGTGTGTACCTGTCCATGGTGTGTGTGTACCTGTCCATGGTCCGTGTGTACCTGTCCATGGCGTGTGTGTCCATACCTGTCCATGCGTGTGTACCTGTCCATACCTGTCCATGGTGTGTGTACCTGTCCATGGCGTGTGTACCTGTCCATGGCGTGTGTACCTGTCCATGGCGTGTGTACCTGTCCATGGCGTGTGTACCTGTCCATGGTGTGTGTACCTGTCCATGGCGTGTGTACCTGTCCATGGCGTGTGTACCTGTCCATGGTGTGTGTACCTGTCCATGGTGTGTGTACCTATCCAAGTGAACAAGGACTGCGGTAAAGAACACTTGTAGTTATCCAGGTGTTGCCAGGGCATCCCTATTAACCTCCTCGCACGCAATACGTCCAGGCTGTTGGTTCCCCCTTTTGTGACCTTATTACGTACAGTAGCTACAACTCCTTCAATATTGCTCTAATTAATTATAAACAAATAAACCTTAACGAAAGAAAGGGTTTTCGCATATGCCGCATCTAATGAGCGCTATCAGAACGAGTTTCCATGGCTGGTTTAGATTTTGAATTTGACGAAAAAAGCAGATTTCGAAAGATCGTTAGATTCACATTATGTTTATCTATCTATCTATCTATCTATCTATCTATCTATCTATCTATCTATTACTAATCAGCGGGAACCACCCAGTAAGGTACGGTAACTACCATTATTGTAGTTGGTGAAGTAATTCGTCCACATTTTCCACGTAAGGTTTTTTGAGTTAAAGGTTTAATTAATTTGTAAAGTATTATATTATTCTTAGTAATTAGTATCATATTATTGTTAGTAATATTAAAGTATTTTTTATGATATAATTGAATAAATCAGTAATGTTGGCAGCCCTGATTGGTCAACACAAGGCTGTTTCCCAAACTGAAAGATTTGGATTATAGTATTGTATTCGTCTTTCTATTTTTCCGTTAAGTTTTCCTTGTTGTTGCTTTTCTATATTGCGATATAAATCAATTTACATTAAAATTTGTATTAAAATTTTTATATACGATAAAGGTTGGATGTATTTTGTTATAATTCCTCATTTGATATTTTTTTTGGCAGGAGGACGGACTAGCGAGGTGATTGGTAACTTGGACCGAGGTAAACAGTGCACGTCGGGACACAGGGCGGGGAGGTGCTGCCGGTCGTTTCTCTTATCTGACCGACTCGGTTCTTTAAATGTATGGTAAGTTTTTATTTGTAGTTTATTTCGGTGGTTAAATTTATACTTGTGTAAACTTCGATATATTAAGGCCATTAGTTTGTTGATTTTGTACTAAATGGGGTTTATTTTAAAAGGACTTGTAAAAAATATTGTAGATCCTCAAGCAGCGGTCGTTAATGCTCGTAATGACATTGACTAGTTATTATAGAGAATAATTTACTATTTTTGGCTTGTATTTAAATTAATATGGTTTAGTTTTGGTCACCGTAAAGACTTTGTAAATATTTAAGTAACGTTTTATTTAATTTACGATCATACTTGTTAATATTAAGCTGTTTTCATTTCCTTACAGATGATGGATCCAATTGGTTGTTACTGCTGTTAAAGGCCAGTTTGCTGCATCAGTGGTCGTCAGCGTGGGTAGTACAGCACCTCGTCAGCGTGGATAGTACAGCACCTTCTTATTTACTGGGGTTAGTAAGTTTGCTGTATACGTAAAGTCTGCTTTACTTAACTTTGCCACTGGGGTCTAGAGGCGGTCGATCGCATCTGGACATTGTTGGCAAGTATTGGGCATGTAATGGCTCTGTTACACCCTGTTGGCAAGTACTGGGAATGTACCGTTACACAGTTGGCAAGTACTGGGGATGTACTGTCTGTTACACCCTGTTGGCACGTACTGGGAATGTACTAGCTCTTACTGTTGACCAGTACTGTACATGTACTGGCTGTTACTGTTCTGTAGTCACTAAACAGCTCACACTCGGTGCCGTCACAAGAGATTGTTCCAACAGTTCACAACTGGCTACAAAAAAAAAGAGCCTTAAAGTTTTCTGGACTTGTGGCATCAACCATAAGCTGTGGCCTCTGGTGGAGCGGGCGTCTGCTAGTTACGAACACTAGACTAAGTAATGCCCTGTTACATGATTATAAACTTGTATTAAGTCATCCCTTGCCTGCCTATAGACTGGACTATGGCATAAACTAATTGGCTTTCCCTTACACAATATGGCAATCACTCGCGGTACTGTTATTATTCATACGCGTCATCTGTTTCAATTTAGGACTTGTATGTCATTTTCCAGTCATTGGGGAACGTTTTGCTTGTTTATGCATCTACAACACGATTTAATGAGCTCGGGAAGCTCATTGCACATCTATTCAACACTTAAAGCTCCCCATCAGGGCGCTTATTTACCTTTATGGTATTATTGCAGTTTGGACCAATATTCGGAACTGTTTTAACCATCACCCTTTACATCTCCTTATTTGAAGTATTTATATAGATATCAATCTGGGGGCAAAGAATGTTAGAAATGAATGAGTTTTCCATACTTTTGGGGGATAACTCGCGGTTACTTCCCCCAGAATTAAAGGTCAAATTAGATTAAATCACACCAAAATAGACAGGATAAACGGTCATTTTTAGTCGTGCACCGGTCTTTCGATCGCTGTTATTAATGTTTTTCTTAATGTTTAGACAGTTCTCTTATTTTTCTTCTATATTTCAGCCGGATATTAAGGATAATATATCTAATTTTTCAATGTTACAATTCCTCAAGACGCAAATGTTGCCAGGATTTGTTTACATCTGGCACCGATCTTTCTTTTGATATTATAAATATTTTTCATATGGTATTTAACGAAATTCGAACGAATTTTGTATTCATTTCCGCCGGAAATCACTAGTTTCTTATCCCCCCCTAATCTTAACGGAAGTTTATTTTTCTCATTAAACCCCAAATGAATTATCAACCAACAAAACCTACCCCCACCCCACCCCCATATTTTGGAAAAAACTATTGACCAATAAGAAGTCTCTCATCCCTATAGCCGCCCCCGCACATGGGTGGTAGACGCTAAGA